GTGTGTGTGTGTGTCTCTGTGGGTGTGTGTGTCTAACCTGTCTGTCTCTCCAGGATCGAGGAGACAACACCAGCAGTAGAGTTTTGTGTGACATCGTGCTGGCCTTCACTGACTCCTGTATCGTCTGGTGGATATCCTTTAACATGTCTAACATGTCTAACATGTCTAACATGTCTAACACGTCTAACATGTCTAACATGTCTAACATGTCTAATGTGGTGGAGCACACACACTAAAACGATCAGGTCAAATCAGCGACACCAAGGTCAAAGGTTTCGTTAAGATTTATAGATAATACTTCTGTACATACTAACACTAACTTTTAAAACTTGAACCTGTTGAACGTCGATGATGAAGTCGATGGTTTAACGTCAGTGAAACATGAAGTAGAACTCTACAGATGTTTCAGTTTGAACTGTGCAGAGCAAACAACCATAGCCAAGACCATTTAAACGGTGGGACTCAAACCCACGTGGTCTGTGGTACGAGCACAAAGGGGATCTCCCGCAGGTTAGCGGAGGAGCAGAACTCAGAGGCTCGGGGATCAGATGAACACAAAACGATTTGAGTTCCTTGACTGTGTCGTCACATCTTTGTGAGTCTGGCTCAGACCATGAAGCTGCTGAAGCTGCGGAGGAACGTGGTGAAGCTCTCGCTCTACAGACACTTCACCAACACGCTCATCTTCGCCGTCATAGGTCAGAACACCACCGTTACACTCGTTGTTGTTAAAAAGTTATTTCAAGTCTTTAAAACTCTGACGTGTTTGTGTGTTTTACAGCTTCGGTCATTTTCATCGCCTGGACGACAAACACCTTCAAGATGCCGAAGTGTTTGTCTGTGAGTACGATTCAGAGCCGCCGCTCCGCATTCTTCTTTTTCATTGTTATGTCTCTGCGCTGGCGACACCCGGTGGCTGGAGGTATAAATGTTTTCAGCCGGTCTGTCTCATTCCTCTAAACACGAAATCTGAAGATTCGAATCTGACACAACTTTTTTTGTTTTCAGCCTCTTGAACTTCTCATCTGTTCTGTTGTGTCTCTCTCTGTGTGTGTGTGTGTGTGTGTGTGTGTAGGACTGGAGGGAGCTGTGGATAGATGACGCGTTCTGGCGCTTTTTGTTTTCCATCATCCTATTGGTCATAATGTTCCTATGGCGACCGTCAGCCAATAACCAGAGGTAGGTGTGTGTGTGTGTGTGTGTGTGTGTGTGTGTGTGTGTGTGTGTGTGTGTCTGTGTGTGTGTGTCTGTGTGTGTGTGTGCAGTAAACCTGTTTGTGTCACAGATACGCCTTCAGTCCTCTGGTGGATGAAGAGAGTGAAGAAGAGGAGCAGGAGCCGATGATGAACGAAGCTTTCGGTCAGAAACTCTTTCTCCGCATGTCTCATCTTTTCCTTACTTCCTTCTTTCTTTTCTCTCCCTCCTTTCATCTTTCCTTCCATGCATCCTTCCCTCCTTCCTTTCTTCCGTCCTTCCCAGTTAGTTGTGAATGTTGTGGTTTTTGTTTTAGATTCGTTTGAACATAATCATGAAAACAACAATCTCCTGCTCGACGTCTTCAGAGCGTAATTTAGAATATAGAATATAGAATATAATATATATAATAATATAGAATATAATATATATAATAATATAGAATATAATATATATAATAGAGTAATGTTCTCTGTCCCCTGAAGAAAAGAATGTAAAGATAAAGTTTTATGAGGCGGAAACGTTTTCAGTGAACGATCCCTCTCCAGTGAAATGTGGTCATGTGATCCTGTTTGTTTACAGAGGGGATGAAGATGAGGGGCATGAAGAACGAGACCAACGGTTCGGCCAAAGCAAACAAAGTGGTGAGTGACGACGAGAAGCTTCGGAGAAACAACCAACGTCCGACATCTTCATCGTTCCTCATCATCAGTTTACATCAGCTGTCAGCGGGAGTTTGTCTTATTCTGCTCGTTTGGGAGATTTTCAACTTTTCATGCTTTTTAAATTGAACCTGAATTTTTCTTAAGATTTGGTTCAAATGTTCGAAGATGAAACGATTTGATTTTAGTCAAAGATCAAAGATCACAGATCAAAGATCACAGCGACTTTAAATGAGTCAGAAACGTTTGTTGACTGAAACTGTGCCGGTTGATGGAGACACAACCACAGGGAGGTGATTCTGGTTGTTCCTGTATATCTGCTGTGATGATGTCAGACCTTTAAACTGTTATAATTATTCTTATTATTATTCTTTAAGAGTAAAAAACTAAAGGTATCTAAAAGTGATGGTGTTGTTTTTGCAGGATGAGGATCTGAAGTGGGTGGAGGAGAACATCCCGTCATCTATGGCAGACGTGTAAGTCTTCATCAAGAAATCAAGACTTTGTTTATCTGAACATACTGACACCGATCTGATACCATATATATATATATATGTATGTATATATATATATATATATATATATATGTATATATATATGACTGTTACTTGTCATGTGACGCTGAATGTCTTCTCTCCACAGAGCCCTGCCCCCCCTGCTGGACTCGGATGAGGTCAGTGTTCTGGTTCTCTCAGTTCTATGCTCTGTTTGTACCGTGGCCCTGAAAACTCTACTCACTGCGTCTTCGTCCACATGACGACATTCTGATTTTCTCTTTCTGGTCACATTCTTCTCTGATTCGTCAGGCTCCTGTCACATGACCTCCTGTCACATGACCTCCTGTCACATGACGTTCAGTTCTTTATTTTACAATGATGCCTTAATTCCTCATGTACCTGCACACACATGCACGTGAGCGGTCATGTGATGTGTGTATTAAAACTGAGAAGGAGTCAAAACTTTTGTGGACGGAGACGGATGAATTTAAACAGTAGAAACAGATTTCACAACAAAAAGTCGTTTTTCTGAAACAAAGAATCAGAAAATATCACCAGGGAACATTTAGTGTGTGTGTGTGTGTGTGTGTGTGTGTGTGTGAGTGTGAGAGTGAGAGTGTGTGTGAGTGTGTGTCTGCAGGAAACACACACTCACATCCTACCTGTGAACAGCAGGGGGCAGCAAACAATCAGCAGAGAGCATCAGTTGCCACAGTTACATCACACAGTTGTTTATCTTCTTTGTTGTCATGGGAAGCAGAACAATGTGATGCTCCGACTGTGTGTGTGTGTGTGTGTGTGTGTGTGTGTGTGTGTGTGTGTGTGTGTGTGTGTTAATAATCTTCGCCACAGAAACTATAATAAAAATCTCTTCTGTCGCCTGATGTTTCTCGTGAATCCTGTTTCAACATCGATCTTTAAATTCCGTCGTCGACTCGTCGTTCCGACCGTTTCTGAAATAATTCACTCTGATCTCCGAGCGGATCCTTGACCCAACAATCAACAAAGTGCCTCTTATGTAAACTCGATGTCTTATGTAAGCTGGCGTGTGCAAACTGACAGATATTAAAACCCGTAGAAAATATCACGGACTCACGCTGGAACGTCCTTCATGCTCTTTGTGTTGCGAGGAAGGAAACGAGGAGGGAAGGAAACGGGACAAACGAAGGAGAGAAGGAGGGAAACGAGGGTTTGTCTGTCTCAGAATAAAATGTTTCTTATCATCAGTAATGATGTAAAATCCTTTTATTCCATCACATCAGTGATTTATGTTGTAAACTGAAGCCTGTTTGACGTGGGAGGGAACAGGAACAATATAATCCCTCATTAGAGGATGAAATTAAGGGGAAATAATTGCTTTAACTCCGTGTTATTCACGTCCTTATGGCAGATTATGTAACGCACTCTAGTTATTTAAGAGGCATATTAAGGACAAATCTGAACCCAACCTGCATTTTATCCCTGTTAACACAAATCATGTAATTTTCTTTCCTGATTAAGGAGGGAATTAAACCCCCCCCCCACCCACCCACCATCCCAATGTTTACTACAAGAGCTACTTCCAGATCACAGCTGGTTCTTGAAGGAGCAGGAAACCTCCAGCAGCCTCATCACATTTAAAATCAGATTTAAATTCTGCAGCAAATCACACACGCTCTTAAATATCAGGCGTCTGAGAAACGAGTGAAACTCATTCCGTGTGGATTCACAGCAAAACGTAATGAGTTGGTTCTCGACGCTCGTCCACCAAGTTCAAATCCCTTCAGTAGTTTTTGTGTGATGCTGAAAAACAAACGTACCCATAGACTTAAAGAAAGATGGACGACGATGGTTTCTGTCACTGTAGTTCGTTGTTCTCACGCTGACGGTCGAGCGTCTGTGACCAGGAAGTAAATGAAACGTTTGCTCTCTGTTGCAGGAAATCATGACGACGAAGTTCGAGATGTCCAAGATGGAGTGAGGAGGAAGAGGAGGTAGAGACGAAGAGTCCGTTCAACACACGGAGAAATAAAACAGATTAGTGTCGGTGATGGAGGGAAGGAGCGATGCACATGTGAGGAGGGAAAGACGAACTGATGGATGACAGAGGGAACGCGGAGAGGAAGGAGTGTTTGATTTACAGTCGGTATGTGGTTCGATCCCTGAACGTATGAGCTTTGTAAGCCCTGGTTGTACAAACACTGGGAGTCGAAACAATCACAGCGACACGGACGCTTCTTTTTATCGCCTGTTTATATTTATCTCTCTCTCTCTCTCCAAATATATATAACATCAAATGCGTCGTATATATATTCATTGATATATATTCACACAGTTGATGTTACTGTTTTTGTTTTTGCCTTCTCACCGTTTACATGCCGAGATGTGGTTTTCCAATCTTGCGTCAGTCGACGTGTGTGTTTACTGACAGTGGTTTTGTTTCTGGAGTTGGAAACTGTTCGTGTTGAGTTTTGTTTGGATCCGTTCGTTCTGTAAAAGCTGTAAATCACAAAGAAGAGAATGTGAATGAACTCATGGAAACAGATTTTCTTTGCCATCGGTTTTTGGAAGTGTGTTGTTTTTCCCGCTTCAGCCATTAAATTAAATTCTTCTCATTGAGACGGTTTTTCTTCATAAGCTCGCTGATATTTTTGTATTTTTTATTTTTTTCCAAATCATCATGTTTGCTCCATCTGGCTGATTAAAATCCAACTTTAATGAAATACTGGTTTTGTTTTGAAAGTGAATTTCACATCGTGCAACGTCCTGGTTGATGATGACGAGCGTTCATTTCCGTTGACGTGGTTTAGCAACTCATCCATCGGAGGACGTACTTGTGTCCTGTGGTCGTCTACTTGAACTACAGGTGACACTGCCCCCCCCCCCCCAGTGTTTCGTCCTGTAAGCTTCAAGAAGACGAGCGAGTTTCTGTCTGTTTCCGTTAAAGTGTAATTTTATAAAATGATTTG